GTTCTGTCTTTTCACAAAACTAGTATGTGAAAAATGCGGAAAACCTGTTTTAGACCCCCAAAATCGGAATTTTTGCTTTCAACTTTTTTCTGAGCGAACGAGTTCACGCATATCTTTTAGTAAAAGATTAGTCACTATGATTGTTTTGTTCTAATATCTGCTTGTTCTGTCTTTTCACAAAACTAGTATGTGAAAAATGCGGAAAACCTGTTTTAGACCCCCAAAATCGGAATTTTTGCTTTCAACTTTTTTCTGAGCGAACGAGTTCACGCATATCTTTTTGTAAAAAATTAGTCACTATGATTGTTTTGTTCTAATATCTGTTTGTTCTGTCTTTTCACAAAACTAGTATGTGAAAAATGCGGAAAACCTGTTTTAGACCCCCAAAATCGGAATTTTTGCTTTCAACTTTTTTCTGAGCGAACGAGTTCACGCATATCTTTTTGTAAAAAATTAGTCACTATGATTGTTTTGTTCTAATATCTGTTTGTTCTGTCTTTTCACAAAACTAGTATGTGAAAAATGCGGAAAACCTGTTTTAGACCCCCAAAATCGGAATTTTTGCTTTCAACTTTTTTCTGAGCGAACGAGTTCACGCATATCTTTTAGTAAAAGATTAGTCACTATGATTGTTTTGTTCTAATATCTGCTTGTTCTGTCTTTTCACAAAACTAGTATGTGAAAAATGCGGAAAACCTGTTTTAGACCCCCAAAATCGGAATTTTTGCTTTCAACTTTTTTCTGAGCGAACGAGTTCACGCATATCTTTTTGTAAAAAATTAGTCACTATGATTGTTTTGTTCTAATATCTGTTTGTTCTGTCTTTTCACAAAACTAGTATGTGAAAAATGCGGAAAACCTGTTTTAGACCCCCAAAATCGGAATTTTTGCTTTCAACTTTTTTCTGAGCGAACGAGTTCACGCATATCTTTTAGTAAAAGATTAGTCACTGTGATTGTTTTGTTCTAATATCTGCTTGTTCTGTCTTTTCACAAAACTAGTATGTGAAAAATGCGGAAAACCTGTTTTAGACCCCCAAAATCGGAATTTTTGCTTTCAACTTTTTTCTGAGCGAACGAGTTCACGCATATCTTTTAGTAAAAGATTAGTCACTGTGATTGTTTTGTTCTAATATCTGCTTGTTCTGTCTTTTCACAAAACTAGTATGTGAAAAATGCGGAAAACCTGTTTTAGACCCCCAAAATCGGAATTTTTGCTTTCAACTTTTTTCTGAGCGAACGAGTTCACGCATATCTTTTTGTAAAAAATTAGTCACTATGATTGTTTTGTTCTAATATCTGTTTGTTCTGTCTTTTCACAAAACTAGTATGTGAAAAATGCGGAAAACCTGTTTTAGACCCCCAAAATCGGAATTTTTGCTTTCAACTTTTTTCTGAGCGAACGAGTTCACGCATATCTTTTTGTAAAAGATTAGTCACTGTGATTGTTTTGTTCTAAAGTTTTTTTTTCTGTCTTTTCACAAAACTTGTTTGTGAAAAATTCGGAGAACATGTTTTGGACCCCAGTTGCCTGGGGCAGCTACCCTCCAACTCCTTCTAAAGGTTCCCTCTAACCACGCAACGACACTCCGCTATCCCGCTCGGCGCGCGCACAGTCTTGAATTTAGTTTTGAGTGATTGCGAGCTTGGATTTGGCTCGTAGTAGTTCTAGAGACTCTTTTAAGGATTTCAAGTGAGTTTGCTTGAATTCTAAGCTTTTATTTGTTGTTTCTTTCTAACTTGTTCATAATAAACCGATTTTGTTACATTTCTTGTTGATTTTCTTCTAGTTTATCACAGGAACCTGATACACCGGACATACCGCGGGCAATTTGGGGTCCGAACCGTTTTTTTATCCGTTTATCCGTTCTTTTACCTCTTTTTTGTTGTTTTTTGCATCAATTCTCTCCAGAGTTTGAAGGATCCAGTGAGAGGATTGTTGTGAAAATTAATAAAGAGCCTTTTTCGTTGTTTTTGCATCAATTCTCCCCAGAGTTTGAAGGAACCAGTGAGAGGATTGTTGTGAAAATTAGTGAATTTCGCAAGAATTTCTCCGAGTTTGAAGGAACCGGCATTAAATTCTTGTAAAATTTGCGAAGAGGACAGTCGTGCAGGTGAAGGCCTAGCGAAGAGTTCGATCAGGTGAAGGCCTGTCGAAAGGACGCGATATCCGTAGAAGATTCAACAAAAGCCCGACATTCTTTTGAAGGAAAGATTTGTTTTCAGGCTTGGAAATGACGTCGATCGGGAGCAAGTCAAGAAGCAACAAGGACAAGTCGGTGGATTCCGAGAAGAGTGAAGCGAGGACGACGACGATGGAGAGCTGGGCAGATGCGATGCAGAATCAGGTAACGCTGAGAGAGCGAAAGAAGCTTGTCAAAGGTTACGCTGATTTCATCGGAACCAGTGAGACAGTCGTGGAGAGTGTGCGTGAGCAGTTGGGCGTGCACAGCAAATGTTCAGAGAGACAGAAAGATGTGATCGTGAAGCCAATGAAAGAGTTTGTCAGCGAATTGACAAAGCGCTACAACGAGCTGGGCAGTGGAAAGTGGGAGCGCGTTGTGATGCGCATAATGCGACAAAACGGACTGGAAAAATTGGAAGACTTGCGGGATGCGGTCTTGCCGGATGATTTGACAGCGAGCGCGAGAAATACTGAAACAAAAGTGTTTCATAACCAGTTGAAATTGTTGCAGGACGGCTGGCGAAAAGAAAAGGAAGAGCTCGAGGAAGAACTGTCAAAATCGAAGCGAGAGAACGATGAGGTGGTCGAGAAGCTTGAAGAAGCGTGGAAAGACGCCGAAAAGGCAGAGGAAACGATCGAGGAGCTGGAAAGGGCACTGCTGAAGGAAAGGAAGACGTCGGAAAAATGGAGAAACCAATTGGAACACGATGAAGGTAAGAAGAAAGAAAAATTTTCAGGAAATAAAGAGAAAACTCAGGTTCATGCAAGGAAATCGCCGTCAAGAAGTTTTAATGGTTCGTCGGTGGATTGGCACAATGAGAGGAAGGAAAGAAAGACCGGTGAGTCTTTTTATAAGAAGGGTGACCTGAAAAATGAGCGAAGTGAAGACTGGCGTGTGAAGGTGAAGAATTGGGAAGTGAATAGCAGTGAGGGGGATTTTCCGGAAAGAAGTGTGCGAGTCAGCGAAAGAAGAAAGTGTGAGCGCGACAGTGAGAGATGTTCGCGAGTGTCACGGGACAGTTCGCGAATGGTAGTGGAGTGCCTAAGCAGAATTATGAGGGCGTCAGCTCTGCCAGAACCAGAGAAGTTCGACGGAAAAGGAGATGTCAAGGAGTTTAAGAGATCTTTCCTTCTGAAGTACAAATCGGTCACGGAGCGTGATGCCGATATGGTAGCAACTCTGGAGGACAAATTCTTGAAAGATGCCGCAAGAACCTTGTTCAAGACACTTCCGAATCGATTTAATCGATCGATCGAGTCGCTGTTTGAGGAGTTTGAAGAGAAGTTGAGGAAGAGGCGAGGAGATCGTGAGGCGGAAGCTCTCAACGAGTTTGAGGAGCTGAAGCGAAAGCCGAAACAGCCGATGTGGGAGTACCTGATGGACGTGGAAAAGTGGTCAAAGCGAGCGTTTCCCCATCTTGAAGAAGAGACAATGTCACAACTGAGAGTCACGAAGCTTATGAGAGCGCTAAGGGATGACCCGACGATGCAAAAGTTGATGACGATGAAGCGATATGAAGTGGCGAAAAAATACCAGTACGAGTTCCTTAAGGATATCGTTCTCCAGCAAGAGAACGAAGACAAGAGAAGGCAAGGGCTCGGAAAATCGTATCGACACGAAAAGAAGGAAATGAGCTGGAAAAAGGAGGACAGCAAGGTTGCGAAGCAAGATAATGCTAAAGCGAAAAAAAAAAGAATCAAAAGGCAGTAGCAATGGGAGCAGAAGTGAGAGTGGAGACCAGAGGAAGGCAGAGATAAAGTGCTATAGGTGTCAAGAAAGTGGGCATATAGCTAGGGACTGTGAGGCAAAGGTCATTCATCACGTGGAAACTGATGGAACAGGACGCGGTGTGGGCGCGAAAATGAGGGAACAAATACAGTTGTTGGGTCAGAAGCGCTTGATGTTTATCGACAGTGGCGCAGAAGTATCGGTCATGTTGACAAAAGTGTGGGAGGCACTGAAGAAAGGGTGTGTGAGATGGAGGCAGAGAGTCGAAGTACTGACGAATCCAACGTTTGCATTGAGGAATGTTTCAGGAAAGAACATGCCAGTGAAAGGACAACTGAAGATTCCAATCATGATGAGAGGAAACAAAGCTAATGTGTGGTTCCAACTGGTGGAAGACAAAGCTGAAATCCTCTTGTTCGGAACGAATGCTTTCGAAAGCATCGGGGTTGAGCTGGCATGGAAGCCAAAGCAGGAAGAGCGCGTAAAGAAAGAGGGAAAAGGTCCAAAAGCGAAATGGGAGAGAAATGCCGAGCGTGCGAAGTGTGAGACAAGTAGCGCTACAGTTAATCATATCATGACTGAGGGAAATGTTGTTGAAAACAATCATTTTTGCAGAAAGCTGATGGAAGAAGGAGGCGGATGTAAAAAAGGAAAGTGCACAGTCCAAGAAGGATACAACGTTTGTTCAAGTGTGCAACAACTCGGAGTGGTGCTGTCAGCAAAAGGAAAAGGTGTGGATTTGGAAAAGTGGAATTTGTTAAAATATTCCAAAGAATTCCAGGCACAAGTGACAACGGTTGAGAAGGAGGAAGCGTTGCAGAAGTTTGCAAAGGAGTGTCCTCAAGTGGCAGAGGCAATTAGGAAGGAAGGTGCATACGCAGAATGGGAAGAAGCAGCGGTGAAGATCAGATTGGCGCTGAAGAGTGAGATCAAGCCAAGGACGACGATCATCAAGGAGCCAGCATTGATAGTTTCCCCAAGATTGAAAATCTCGGGAAGAAGAAATATTCTGGAAGTTCGGAATTCGCATGGAAGCGATTTCATGGAGAAGTACGAGTGGAAGAAGGTGAAGAATGTGCTATGGCTGTGTATAGTCACAAAGGACAAGGAGGTCAACCAACGGATTTTCGAAATGATCAAGAAGTTGGCAGAAGAAGTACCAGAAGTCATAATGGTTCCGTTCAAGCTGGAGTGTGTCATGAAGGAAGTTGACAAGGTGACAGAGGAGTGGAGAAAGAGGCTGAAGACGTTGAACAACGTGAAGCTGATCGATCCAAGGAAAGAGGTCGGAAAGCGAGAACTGCCGTTAATTGTGACGTCATCGGATAAGTATGAGTCGGGAAAATCGCTGTTGCGATATCTGGAGCAAGAGGCAGAGGATAATCCGTGTGTGAAACGACTGAAGGCGATGTCGGCGGAGAAGGAGGAGCCACGTAGCAAAATGACCAAGTCCGATAAGTAATTAAGGACATTTTGGGATTTAAATGCTTATTTTTGTTTTGTATTTAAGTAGCTATTCTAGGGTATTGTAA